GAGAGAGAGAGAGAGAGAGAGAGAGAGAGAGAGAGAGAGAGAGAGAGAGTTTTTCTTCTTCCTCTTCTCAGTCCACCATCTCCCTCTCACCCTCTTGCTACCTGACTTCACTGCAATCAGCAGACTAAGAGAAAGAGAGAGAACTTGGTGACATTTGGATCCAGACTCGACATTGGACTTCAGACATTTGACGAGGGATTATCTGGGACTTGTACCGAAGACTTGGTGTTAACGACATTCCCGTCTCCCGTCTCTTCTTCGTCTGATCCCCTCCTCTTCGTCTGTGTATGGTCTGGACCTGGCGCCTTCTTCCTGTGTGTAGCGCCAAGCCCCTTCCCACCTTGTGATAAGGATGATGTATGTTTGGTCTGTATTGCGACATTGATTGGGCTAGTCATTGGTATTCTAGCATTCTGCTGCGCTATCTTGTACTTCGTGAGAGAGGTCAGTCCCGGTCTCGTCAGGACTTATATCTACGTGAGTCTTCCACTGTGCTATAAAGCACCATTTTTGTAAGTATCAGGATGTACACTGCTTGTTGAGATTCTATTAGCATTGCATTGTCCATTCAGTCCTTTTCATCACATTGCGGTTCCTTGGTTATATATGTACATCGCCCAACTGGGCATGTAACAGATATCCACTAGCACGACCGCTAGTAGTACAGTCCCAACCTTAGCGACATCTACCCGCCTGAACGGAGAGTTTAGCGAGGCCCATGTTGTGTTTTGTCATGTTCCCTATACACAACCCAACAAAGAAACGCGTGACTGTGCCAGACTGTCTCGTCAGACTTTCACCAACTCATCAGCGGGTTGAACCCCCACCTTCTCCTCTGATGCATTTAACTGATAGACAAGGACTCACCACGTCGCGGAGAGTTAGCAAAATACCCCTGAGAGAATTTCCTTCTTCCCCCGAATACAATGTACGGTCATTATAGCTGAATTTGGCGTATCTTTCAGTCTAAATACAGCTATAATGACCGTACATTGTATTGGGGGGAAGAAGGTAGTCAACTTCAACTTCATTCACACCAACCCCTCGACAATCCTGGCAGGGGGTCGGATCAAACTTCAAACCCCTGGGAAGAATACCAGGTATGCCTGAGAAACTACCTTCTTTCCCCGAATACGAAGTACAGTGATTATAGCTGTATTTGGAGTATCTTTCAGCCTAAATATAAAGTTATAATGACCGTACGTTGTATTTGGGGGAGGGAGGTACCGCCTGTCGCAGCCATAAAACCCACTCCACACCCCTGGCAACAATGGCAGTAATTCTGAGAAACTAGTTTGTCACAACCGTAAAACCCGCATGCACTCCCTTGTCCTTCGGGACATCCGTTAAAATCGGAACGATACAGAGAAAGAGAAGATTAGCATGGCCCCTGCACAAGGATGACACGCATAAATTGAGAAACGGTCCAAATTATGAAAATTGGGGGGGGGGGGGGGGGGACACTCCCAAACCCTTGGTAAGAATGGTAGTATAAGTCTGACAAACTAATCTGTCACAGCCCTCAAGCCCCACTCAGACCACTCTACACACCCACTCAGCCAGGGATAGCTAAGCAAGGGGTGTCTGCCTGACTCCCTTGTCAAGGAGTCACCAAAATATATCACTGCTTTGAATGTGCTTTCCAATCATGAACTTGGAAATTAATAAATTATTGAAATTTTGTTTACACTGACATCTTTGTCTGTCGGAAGCTTCTTTTTCGTTTTGTCTGTTGGAAAGCTTATTTTTGCAAGACGTGTTCATTTTCATGCTTGACCTTCTTTCAAAAGGTCAAGCATGAAAATGCACATGTTGCACATAAGCATGGCCATGCCAGACCTGGACCCTGACCCGCCCAGCTCATGTCCGATCAGGTCCAGAAGTCCGGACTTCAGGACACATCCGGACCACCGGACATGTGTGGTTCCAGACGGTCCGGAAGTCATTCTTGTCTTGTGTCTGTAGACATGGCATCTTCCAACACAGGCAAGGCACTAAGTCCCCTCTCTGTCTATATAACTATAGCTGCTGTGCCTACTTTAGAACTGCACCACCTTGACAACTGGATGTGGAATCAGCACATCCAATCCTCACGGTTGCATGCAATTATGTCAAATAGTGTGGTGCAGACATAGCGCAGCCCACACGGTTTCCACATTCTAAGAACACAGAGGCACAGCAGCTATAGTTCTCTAGACAACGCAGATTTGCCCCTATAGACAATGCAGATTCGCCCCTTCTAGACAATGCAGATTCGCCCGTACGCTATACCAAAGAAATAGCTTTGAGAGACGGTGTGGGTGAGTGCCAAAAGATAAACGTATGTTTACAGCTTTACGCACAGCTTTCCTTTCTCCCCTTTTTCTTCTTCTTAAAAAGCTCGACAGCCGTCGGGACATCCGTTAAAATTGGAACGTTGCAGAGAAAGAAGATTAGCATGGCCCCTGCGCAAGGATGACACGCATAAATCGAGAAATGGTCTGAGTGGAGATCCGGCAGGGGCCCGGGGGAGGTTCCTGGTGGCCTGGCCGGGCGGGACACCTGGTTGGGGGCCGGGCCCCCTCAGCGCCCCTTTTTTTTTTTTTTTTTTTTTTACCTGTCGGTGTGTGTATATGTGTGTGTGTGTGTGTGTGTTCGACTGTGTATGTCTGTGTGTGTGTGTGTGTGTGTGTGAGAGAGAGAGAGAGAGCTGGGAGTGAATAGCTTGACCGCTTACGTGTGTGTGTGTGTGAGAGATAGAGGGAGGGGTTCAAATGTGGATCGATATTGGCCATATTCAGCTGATTATGCTGCTGAAGAACTCAAAGATTTCCTGCAAGTTGTCAGTCTGCAAGTCTTCTTCTTCTTCTTCTTCTTCTTCTCCATCTTATCAGTCTTCTTCTTCTTCTTCCCGTCAGTCTTTCTGCATTTTTTGTCAGTCTTGTTCTTCTTCAGAAGGAAAGGGTCGATAACATGCATGCAGCAGACATCAGACCAGCAGGCAACAAACATGCAGAGCCACCAACCCAGTACATACCGGATGACATACATTCAGCACACAGCACGCAACACACATGCAGACACCCCCCCAACCCCAGCCCCCCCCCCACACAGACCAACCCCCCCCCAAAACCAAAATTTATTGCAGATTCGGGGTCCCCTCGCCGAGCGCAGAACGACCCCGGTTTCAAAAAAAAAAAAAAAATCTGGGCGGTTTTTTGGCCCAACCGGTTTATTTTTTTTTTAAAGGCCGAAAGCCTTGCGATATTATTGTGAAACTGACCGGCCCTAGGTAATTCAGGAATGTTGTTCATCTGGTTCCATCTGGATTCAAAGTCAGGTCTGCATGTCAACAGTTTGTAGGTGTCGCAACTTTACACACAGCCTTTTCATTATTGGGATAGTGACAAAGTAAGGGACAAGGGACAAGCGCTACATTTTGCAGAGCGCTACATTTTGCAGAGAGGAAGCGAAACGTTTTATAAATTCGCGCACATGCAGGACGCACGCACACGCACCTCGAACAAGAGGACCAAATCATCCTCTCCACGCACCAGCAAAGCAAGATAGAAAAAACAGTTGTTGAAGGTCACAGCTTCGTTGATTACAACTGCCAATATCGACTCCAGCGGAACAAACTCCCGCTTCATCTGCCCGCTGTTTGCACGCACATCGAACACAGCACAGACATGGATCCCACACGGAGCTGGAGTTAGAACGATGACAATCCGCACTCGCGTGTGATGCGCTCACTCGTTCCACCATCTGCCATGTGACAGTGACGCATAAGAAAGGGCAAGAAAGCTGACGGAAGCGATCAAACAGTAACATGGGGAAGCATTGAAAGTTGGTTAAGTCTGTATGATTAATGACTTGCCAGGGGAATAGAAACCGCACTGACGCTCCCCATAATGGATACAGAGACAGGTCAATAAGGACCCATAAGGACCCCTTTTTTATTGTGAGAAGAAAAAGGCAAGGAACACAAGCAAGAGCGAAATGACAAAATTGCAGGTTGCAAAATCACAATGAAAGCCAGATAGTCGAAAGCTGTCCCGAAAGCAGTAATGCACTGATATGTCACCGAAGGAGAACCAAAGCAGCAATCTCAATTGTCAATGAGAGCATATTCTCGCCATCACGACAAATGTGAACTAAGCTCTTCCTCCTAATGGCGCTCAGCGCCCAGACTACTATCACACAGCTACTCTATCCTATACTACAAAGTGACGAAGCAACCAGTTGACGTCAGCAGCAAGAACCGAAGTACATGCAGATGTCGACCATGTAGACCATCGCCAAGACCAGGTACGTGCTCTCACATCATGTCTTCATCTCTCTCTCAATCCTATCACCCTCGCCTTTTCCTCCCACGTCTCCCCTCAACACGAAGACCACCACCAGACCCCCGCTGACACGACCAAGCCAGCCTGGCTATGAAGGCTGGCTATGGCGCTGCCTGGAAACAGCACCCTGCTTCCTCACGACCGCGCTCGTGTTGACATCAACACTTCCAAGCAGGCAGGCGCGAGCGTCCTCTCCAGCAGCGCTGCTGCTCACACTAGTTAGTGCCCGAGTGCCTCACATAAGGCAGGCACTTTCCTTTATGGAAAGCGCTGGCAGCTTCCAGTCGGGCCAAAGTGTCTGCGCCCAGGCCCAGTTCAGATATTGGCCTGGGCCCGAAGCAGTTTAGCACGCCCAAATATGCCACCCGCCTCCAGGCGTTTGCTGCATTCTGATTGGCTCATGGCCAGTGTGCGACAACGAACGCAGCTGAATTTTCATTGGAAGGCCTCCGGGGTCTTGCTGCACACCCCCAGGGCTGCTGTGCAATGCGTCGGCCTCCGGGGTCTTGCTGCACACCCCCAGGGCTGCTGTGCAATGTGTCGGCCTCCGGGGTCTTGCTGCACACCGCCAGGGCTCTAATCAATCGTGCCCTGGGCCCTGTTAGGTTGGAAGGCTCAACTGCCCAACGTGGCTGCTGCTGTTTGTTTCGATCTGAATGGCAGATAGGCCTCCTTCCACGCTGTCTGGACGAGCCTAGAAGGCTTGCGGCCTTGGTCACACATGCGATGCCTTGGAACCAACTGGCACGTGGTAACTGTCTGGAGCCCACCAGGGCTGCCAAATTTTGCAATATTTAGGCCTTTTTGAAGTACACGGCCTGCCTTCACTTAGGGCAGGCGCCATGCTTGCAGCTGGGGCCCATACGGCCAGGCCGAGGACTATCCTCGCAAAAAAAAATTAAAAAAGAAAAATAGAAAGTGTTGTGAATTACCATAGTGCAAGGAGTGTCATCAGAATCATTCCCCTCGACATGTGCAAAATGTCACTTGGTGAGGAGTATGTGGGTCTGGTGCGTCCGTAGGAGGGTCCCGTGGGGCCCAATGGGGCAACTGCAAGTCAATACAATCTTGATCTAGGTCTATCGGATTAGGACGTTGTCAAGTAGCTCAGTAGCTGACCTCTAACCAGTAGACCTACGAGGGCCTCACTGCTGCAGGAGGCTTAAGGGCCTACCTGCCAAGGCCAAGAACGGGAAAAGCTCTGTTTTCAGACCCTAACCGCAGTCCCTGGTACACGACTGAGGCTGGTACCGTACAAGATGGTCCACCAGAGGGGCATACGGAGTGAATAGCAACTGGCCGACGCCATTGGTGAAGAAAGCAGCACGGAGGAGAAGAGAGCTGAACGCTGAACTCCATGCAGGCCAGCCAAGATAGACATAGGTGGCCCCCATAGCTTGGATCCTGGAAGTAGGTGTCAACACGGATGTAGGGTGTACTCTTCGGAGACCTTCAGAGGAGGAGGAGGAGGAGGAGGAGGCCAGTGCTGGACTGGAGATGCCTTAGTCGGCAATGTTTTTTACGAGACCAGCATTACTGGCAGTCACTTAGAGATCGCTGCGTTGGATCAGGCAGTGAGCAGACATCCACAGACAGAGATGGAGCTTTATGGATCGGTAGGAGGTAGAGGAAGGGAGTGTGTCGTCATATTCACTATACACAACTCCACAAAGAAAAGCATGACTGTGCCAGACTGTTTCGTCGGCCTTTCGCCAGCTCATCAGGAGGTTGAACCACGACAGTCTGCGCAGGATGCATTTGGACTGATGGATAAGAAGTTAAGAACTCACCACATCGCCCCAGAGAGAAAACTGGTCGACTTTATACTCACACCAAGCCTGCAATCCTAGCAGACTGTCGGTCCAAACCCCTGGATGACATGAATGGCAGTACATCTGAGAAACTAATCTGACACAGCCATAAAACCCACTCTACACACTTACACACTCAGCCATGGAGATGTGTGTGTGAGAGAGAGGATGATCAGTTGGAGAACTGAAATTAAGGCATTGGTGGTTGGTCTTGTCAAGTGTTGTTTTTCATCACCTTCCTCGTTCATTCTCCACATCTCCTCAGTTTCTATCCTCGGGTTTCCCTGTTGCAATTTGATGGCAGACTTTAGATGGCTTGCTGGGGAGATATGGCCCAAGTAAGTACCTCCTCGTCGACAGCACAAAGGGCAAAGGAGGGTCTGGTCCTTCACTTCGCAAACAACCAGTATCGATGCCCCGTCTTCCCTTTTCGGTAGTTTAAACTTTGATGGACTACAATGCAAGGAACATCCGATGCTGGAAAACGACTGAAGGAAACACTGGGGAAGCAGAACTCACAAGCTCTCTCCTCAGGTCCTTCGAGACAGAGGAGGGTAATTAGCATGGCCCCTGCGCAAGGATGACACGCATAAGCTCTCTCCTCAGTGGCTACTCACTCACGACTGTCTTCAACTGAATGGAACGCAGGGTCATTATCGCTCTATCTAGACTGTTAGCTGCAACAAGTACAGCTATACTGATTGTGCGTCCCCGTGAACATGGTGGCCTGCAGAGTGCCTACAACTGCTTTCTCATGGAATGTAGTCCTGATCCATGGAAAGATGCAGAGAATAATGTAGAAAAAAGAAGAAATACAGACTGTCTGTCTTCGTGAAGACGAAAAAGCAAGACTCTGTTTTCATTGGCATCTAGTCCTTGTCCACGGAAAGATGCAGATAACGGTGTAGGGGGAAAAAAAGAAAAAGAAAAAGAAAAAAAAAGCAACCTTAGTAACCTTACCTGTGCAAGGATGACACGCATAATTTGCAAAATAATGGTCCAAAATTTTGGAGGATTTTTTTTTTTCTTTGGAGGGGGGGAAGAAAAAAGAGGAAGGAACCTTACCCACGATAAAGCGTGCTTATTTGAATGCCCGTTCCTTTGATGATCTCGACCCTTTCTGCTCGATCAAAAATGAAACCAAAAAGAAAGGGAAAAAAAAAAACAGCAATATCCGAAAGGATTAGGCGAACATAGACATTTGCGCAAAACAGGTCTCAAAACCTAAACCATCATTTTATTTTATTTTTTTAAGGGTTGGGAGGCGTCGAGGATAGGAACCAGGCTGGTAGTGCGGCAGGAGGCTTCACATACTGGGTGCAGCCTACACGTCGGCACAGCGGACCCACCCACACACAGGAATCACTCAAGACAGGATACACACACACAAAAAAAAAAAAAAAAGGACACACAACCTCGCCACACACACAACCGGTAGTATCACCCTGGACCAAAGCTACTAGGATGCCGGCGCATCACTTGACCAGAGTTAGGAAAAAAAAAAAAAAAAAGAGCCAAGACGTCACACTGTGTGGAATTGGAGTTGAATCAACAGAGTCTCGCCTCACATAGTGGCTCAAAAAGGCCCTCCTTTGTTTCCCTTTTCTCTTTATTCCATGGCTACAATCGGGACGTCCGGACCGCCATCCAGACGGTCTGGATTCAGTCCGTTCCATGGCTACGATCAGGACATCCGGACCGCCATCCAGACGGTCTGGATTCAGCACGGACTCCAGACATCCGGTCCGCCAGGTCCGGATCTGCCAAATTAAAAAAAAAAAAAAAAAAAAAAAAAAGGTCCAGGACATTTCCCCACTGAGGAGCCGAACCCCACAAATTGTTTTTGGGGTTTTTCAGGACCGTCTTTGTTTTTTCGGGGGGTCCAGACTCCAGATATGGTCTATCTCTATAATAATTTATTAAACATACCCTTTTTTCAATTCTTAATAAATCATTACCTTTTTAAAAAGGGCCTTTACCCGATTCAGCCCTGTTCGACGAAAGCAGCATATTGGGGTCCCTCGCCCAGAGCCCAATTCGTAAAAGCAGATTAAAAGACATGTTCTCTGAGTCAAAGGTCACATCCTGGCTACAGTAAAGACAATGTCAAAGGTCATGGTTGAGCCCTGGACGAGCAGTCATCATGTTTGGATTTGGGGGTCACATCTGTTCGCCAGAGGCAATGCAATTCATGTCTATTCAGACAAGGGATGTGTCTGTATGCACAGTCAATGTGTCTGTTAGTGCAAAAAGAGTGTCTGTTCGTGCAGAGAGAGTGTCTGTTCGTGCATTAGGTGTGTCTGTCCAGCAGAAGTCAAAGAGTTAAGTTCCAGTCCAGATTCGAGTCAGGAAGAAAGTCTAGATTCAGATTGGGAGTCCGAAAAAGTCTAGATTCAGATTGGGAGTCCGAAATCAAGGCCTGAAGGCCGCAGCAGCAGCAGCCCCTGAAGGAAAGGGATCTGGGACACATACACAGAGGCTGGGACTGGGAAAGGACCAGGACAGGCAGAATTCAGCCCTCGCCAGGGGAGGCCAGCACTATAAGAAACGAGGCAGCCTCCCCCAGAGACAGATTCTCATAGGCATTGATGCGTGGAAGTGCTGAGGCACTTGTGCGTTACAGTGCTGGAGAGGCGCTGGCTGAAGAAGAGCTGCGCCAGGAAGAAGGGAGGCTGGGCGCTGGCTGCAGAGAAGCCATAGCTGCGCCAGCCTATGTTAGCAGTAGTAGGGATAGTTAGTAGTGGGATATCAGTGAGTGACATTCAGAGTAGATCTTCATAGGTGAGAGTGTACATGCATAGTGAGGTAAGAGAACCAAGATAGAGTTATCAAGAGAGAAGAAGGCAAGAGAGAGAAGCCAAGGGGTGAGCTTGGATGTGGTGGACACTTACCTGTTGGCGCCACACTTGTGATCTGAAGGAGAATGCTGGCTGAGCCAGGTCCCACGCAGTTGTCTGACGAGGGAGACTTACCTCTTGTTGGCGCTGAACTTTGGAACTCATGCTACTCTTTGTATTCAGTGACATTGATAATATAAGCTGCGCTACTTGGTTCTTATCTCATCTCAATCTGGCTTTGTGTGAGACCACTTTGTACGTGTGACGAAATGTAAGCATGCGATTTGATGCACTCGAGCAAGCTGTGAACAGTCAGGTTCCTTGCATTTTGAAGTTTTTTTTAGTTTTTTACTTTTAACTCAAGTTTGGTTAGGAATTCTGACTTGACTCTGAGGCAAAAGTGGTTTGTATTGTTATTCTGCATAACATACTTTTGTTTCAGATTTTTTTACTTTTATTTATTTTTAATGGTCCGGACATCTCCGGCCTGCTTACCGGTCCGGACCGTCCAGAACCATACATGTCCGGAGGTCCAGATGTGTCCAGAAGACCAGATGTCCGGACTCGAGCAGACATGCATCCGGTCCCCGGACATGCGCTGTCCGGGTCCGGGGGTCCGGTGTAGCCATGCTTTTTTCTTTATCCGAAAGGACGAAAACTCAATCAAAATTGTCAGGTGGTTATCGCATTGCAATGAACCCAGTCTGGAAGATACTCGTCAAGTGTCGAAGTGCAAGAAACTCAGTGCTGAATAATGTCTCCAATAATCGTGAATGTGATCTGTAATACAATGTCTTGGAACCAATGGACGAAGAGGGAAGAGGGAGAATAGACAGTTTAGACAGTGGAGAAGAAAGTGTAGATCAATGACCACAGAGATAGTAGCCCAACATTTCCCTCTTCTTCTCTGGGCTTCCCCTCGCCTCCACGCCAGAAAACAGTGTCCAATAACGAGCCAGACAGGTCCTGATCACATCATAGTGGCACGTGGCACAGTTCTCCCGTGAAGACGTTCAGCAGCACACAGTATCGACATCAACAGAAGGTAAGTATCCTCTCTCTCTCAATCATCCACAGATCCCGATCTCCCTCCTTGTCACGTCCAACTCAGCAATGTAGACAGTGTGGCAAATGCCACATCAGAAATGAGGACAGTGGTATGCACCACCTCAGCAATGTCGAAGACAGTGTGTCCTCGCGCCACGTCAACGGAGGCTGGCGCCGAAGCAGGAAGGCGCCAGCATGCAAGTGCAAGGAACATGAGTATGGACGAAGCACAGAAATCCAGAATGCAAAATCACACTGAAGTCCAAGTATTCAAAGCCAAAGCAGATAGCACATGGAACCGAGTAACCATCCCATTGAGAATGATACAGAAGAATTGTGAGTCAATGTCCATGCCCAACAGGGCAACACCAACAGCATAACCCAAATGTAGCTCTCTCTTGTGAATGGCGCCAGGCGCCCTATCTACTCTACAGCCTATCCTACAACTACAGCAATGAACAGCAACCAGACAACTTGACTACCAGCGAGTGATGATGTCAACACCAATGCCGTATTCCACCATCACCAGGTACGTGTCATCTTCCCCACACTCTCCCTTGTTACCCACACAGCGCCCTTCACCTCCGAAGTACCACCTTCGCCCTCACCTCCCCTGCACCCTCTTGCGGCCCAGGCTATGGCCGCCAGTGCCCTCAGTGCAGGCAGCGCCCTACCGCCTAGCGCTGGCCTGCTTGCTCTTAGCGCAGCACTGCCTTGCACAGCGCAGCACACATGCATCCGCGCAGCGTGCCAGCATTGGCCAAGATCCTTGCTGCCTCGCCCTGCTTGCCTATATGCCCCAATGCAGCATGTGGGCGGCCTCCCTTCAGCCTGCGACCGGGACCCAGAGGCTGAAGCCTACCCGATACAGTTGGGCCCCGGAGCAATGCAGTTGCGCCTCTCTTCTCAAGGCCTGCGGCCAGATTCAGATAGTGGGCCGATTTTCCCTTTGGCATTTCGGCCTCTCTACCCAGCATGCATTGTCAGCCTCACGTTCGAGTSCCCAGGGCCTAACTAACTCAGAGGCCCTGGGCAYTTCAGCATTTGCTGAAATCCGAGACTTGGTGCACTCCAACCAACTGGCGTGCTGCAACTGTATAGACCCCACTTCGTGAAATGTTGGCCGAGAGGGCTCTTGTTGATTTGCTGGCCCGCCTTCACTTAGGGCGGGCACTAGGCTTGCTGGGGCCTTAGCCCAGAACATGTACATCATGGCAAGGCCCCTACTTGAGGGCTCAATCCTCACACAAGCCTCAGTCTCGCGTCGTCGTCCACCGTGCCCTAGTACAGCCAGCGTCCACAGCCAGCATCAAGCCAGCGTCCAGCCAGCGTCAAGCCAGTGACTAGCCAGCGTCAAGCCAGCATCAAGTCAGCATACAAAGCAGGAAGGCGCCATCATGCAAGCCTCAGTCTCGCGTCGTCGTCCACCATGCCAGCGTACAGCCAGCGTCCAGCCAGCCTCAAGCCAGTGTCTAGCCAGCGTCTAGCCAGCATCAAGTCAGCATAACAAGACCGACTGTTGACTCCCTGGAGGCAGGGTCTTATGTAGCGTCGACAAGATTGACCTGCCTCAGGTCTCCCACTCACGGTGGCTCAGATTGACTCGCAGCCGAGGGTCTGGATCGCATACAGTTGCAGACTTCCACTTGGTCCGAATGCTGTCTTGGTACCTGCATACAAACAAATGTGTGCACCTGACCGGCGGCCTGGGCTGGGTCCATGCAGACTTTGACTCTTGGGCCGCTGGGCAGTCGACCGAAGTCAACTGTTGGGCGCACAGGCCTCGAGGCCAATTTGGGGGTTTCGCTCCCCTTGGCCTTTGCGGCCTCAGACCAGGGTCGCGGCCTGCGTGTAGCCTTAGGGCCACTTCAGGGCATATCGAGCGGGGTATTGCAGTATCGAAAACTCAATTCAAATTCCCCCCCTTTTTTCCCCCTTTTTTTTTCTTTTTGACTGTAATTCCTGACTAAAGTTAGAGCTTCAAACCACCGGTACTTGGCCCAGCCATTTCTTTTCCAAGCTGGGTCGTCAACGTGCCACGTTACCTGCCGCACCGCCAGAAGTGCGCAAACTTTTTTTCCATTTGGCTGCTACGCCCAGCCATTGTGGACTGGTAGGCCCGAGGCGATAATTTTTTCTCGGAGTAGGCGACGAAACATTTTCTCCAAGGCTGGGCCCGTGGACCGGCAGCGGTTCCAGTCAGTAGGCCTGGGACCAAGGGTCAAAGAGAGGCACCTAGGGACTTCACAGAGAACTGCAGGCCCTACCTAGGAAAGTCAGCTGTCAAACCTAACCCAACCCAACCCAACCCAACCCAACACGCCAACCCGGGCACATAAGTCGAAGAGTCGAATATAATTTCTATGGCTATGGCCATGGTCGACATACTTCTGGCAAATATTCGACTCTTCGACTTATGTGCCCGGGTTGGCGTGTTGGGTTGGGTTGGGTTGGGTTGGGTTAGGTATGTCGACCATGGCCATAGCCATAGATATTACTTTAAGGCCTCAGCAGAGTCAGCACACAGTTTCCTGAAAATTTTTCCGATCACTCTCCCCTCGTTCCACGCCCCTCTCTCTCTCTCTCTCTCTCTCTCTCTCTCTCTCTCTCTCTCTCTCTCTCTCTCTCTCTCTCTCTCTCTCTCTCAC